GAAGCATGACAGTTTGGGATGCTAAAGCTACAGTTTATTTTGTTTAAAATTTCAGCAGAAAAGTGGTCTGTATGTATTAATAGCAGCTTAAATGTAAAAACCTGATAAAATTGTATGCTAGTGCAAAATAAAAACATGCCACGTACAAAACAGCTGCCAATTATCAGTCAGGAAATACTTACTTGGCTTACGTGAACTGGCGTTAATATCAAATCCAGAACACCAGACCAGCCAGAGAAAACACCCAGTGGTATAGCATAGGCTAAAGCAATCATCAAGAATCGGAAATTGCTGTGAAGACAAAACATATGTAATTAGCTTCAGCTTATATTAGAAATCACACCAAGATTAGCTACTAGAGTACATGACACCCTAGAATCTATATTCTGCCCATCAAGAAAAATAGCAAAGGTCTGAAGGAGGAGCGAGCCAGGAAAAACAAGGTATCCAGCCATGTCACTGAAATTCCAGTGGCTGAGATGTTACTGCCTTAGCACTGTGATAATAAGAAAGGCCAGTCTCTCCACATAGTTCAAAGATTTTTGTAACATGCTGGGTTCATGTGTTTCTCATTTCCACAAGCAATTCTTCTGCATTTGCGTGGGCAACCTACTTAGCCTAAGCGTATGTTAGGAACAATAAGCACTAATTTAAATGACAAAAAGCGTATTTCAAGAATAAAATCAGAGATTCATGCTTTTTGAACTATACTTTTTTTTAAACTGTTTTACTTCTCTTTATTGTGGTGAAAGGCAGGGAGAGCTCTGGGAATGAGATGGGTACTGTTGCAAGAGTGGAAAATTTTGACAGTTTTAAGTGTCAAAAAACAGAGACAAGTATAATATTCTGCTCTAAATAGTCAACGTGTTTTCTTTTTCCTCCCAATTAAAATTATTCAACCTTTATTCAGTATTCAGTGAAGATGAAGCAGTCAAAGCTGTGTAATCATCTTCATCGTACAAAGCTAAACAGGAGTTGGCAGACAAATACCACCACCAATTTCCCCTACCCACCCACCATAACCGAAAGCAAATGCAAAATCTTTGCTAAGAGACATCCAACTTTTCCTCAAAAATGTTTCGATTTGGGAGGAAAAACAGAAAATATACTTTGGACTCTGCAACACTGATATTTTAAAGTGAAGAGATCTTCTGGTGATTCCAAGGTTATTCCATGGGATATCTGCGTAACCACAAAATGTGTCTCCCCCATTCCCAAAGAATTTACATAAAATCGATCCTGATCAGTACCAGTTCCTTGGCATGCAGCGGCAATTTGACAGCACACAGTTACAACAGCCAAGACTGAGGGAAAGA